TGTGCATAAAAACAAAGGCGCATTTGGCACAGTTGGCAAGTAAAGAAAAAAGTGCCTTCCTCCGCTTCGTTGGGGGTGGGAGGTGTGTGCAGAGAGGGATACCCTTCCTCCTCCTCTTCCTCTTCTTCCTCCTTCACTTCCTCCTCTTCATATTGGGGGAGGGAGGGGGAGCGGGAAAAGAAGGGGGTCAACCAAGGTTCCTTCGCCCGTGCGTAAAAAGCAGAGCGCATTTGGCACAGTTTGGGAAGGAAAAGAGGGACGCGCCTCTTCCTTTTCGATGGGGCGGAAAAAAGGGGGGTTACTATCTTCCTTCTCCTCCCTCCCCCCCCCCCCAAAAAGAAGTGGGGAAGGTCCAGGAAAAGACCGAAACAAGGCGGCGTTAGGGACATCTTGTCCTAGGGCGAATGTAACGATATCAGTGCGCATGTAATGATGAAGGCTAAACACTCAGGTTTTCGTTTCGTTGGGGAGGAAGAAGGAACGTCCCTCTTCCCCTTCGACTGGGGGGGGGCGGGGGTGGGGTTCCCCTTCCTCCTTTCCAGGATGTACAGAGGGGGCTCCGGGAAAAGACCGAAAAGGGGGGAAAAACCGGGAAAAGCCGTGCGTAAAAGCAAATGCGCTCTAGACTTGTGCGCAAAACAGAGCTCACTTTGGCCCAGTTGGCGAAGGGTTGCCTGGACTGGGGAGGAAGCACGGATTTGGGACTCCCCCGAGGAAAAGGAGGGTGGAACTCAAAGGGGAAGGGCTACTAAGGGGGAGGAGCCGACCCCCCCCCCTCCGTGGAAGGGGAGGAGAAGTGGCTGTGAAAGTCCCGCGGCTTCAGCTGAGAAGTCGGGGAAGTCCCGCCGGCTGCCTCTCTCTCTCTCTTTCTTGTTTGCTTCCCTTTCTGGCCCGACCCACTCGGGACCTGCGTGGGTTTCTGGAGGTGGTGTTCTCCCACCTGCGTGGCTTGCCGTGTCCTTCCTCGCTCGAAACGGACACGGAAGCGGCATGAAAGAGAAAGCGAAGAGGATGAGTTGGCGAGGCAGGCGCGGGTGGAGCCGCCGGGCGGAACTCCCTTCCTAGGAACCCACGCCAGTCCAGGAAGCAAGGGAGTGAGGAAGAAGAGGGGTGTCTCAACTTTCGGGGGGAAAAGGACTTTCGGGGACCCCGCAGCCCACCCCGGAGTTTGGGGATCCGATGGCCGGGGAGCTGCCGGTGGACTTGAGGACTTGGAGGAAGAGCGGCGGCGGAGGAGGAGGAGGAGGAGGAGAGGGGCCCCAGAAGGAGGAGGAGGAGGAAGAGAAGGGCCCCCCCAAAGCCCAGACCTGCCTGCCCCTCCGGAAGCGGCGCTACGCCCAAGGGGGGCCCCAGGGCGAGGAGGCGCGCGGACCCCCCGCCGGGCAGGTGCCCAAGAGGGAGGAGGAGGCCCCGGGAGGGCGGTGGGCCGCACACGGCGCACACGGGCTCGGGGGGCCCTTCCTGCCCCTCCCCTACCCGCGCCTCCCCCACGCCTACTTCTCCGGTAAGGACTGGCCCCCCACCCTCTTGCCCCTGCAGCCCCTGGACGGGATCCTGGGGAGGGGGGGATTGAGGTTGCACAGTCCAAGGGGATCTCCAGAATAGAGATAGATAGATAGGAGGAAGGGGAGGTCAAGCCCTGATAGGGGGTGAGTGGGGTTGCAGTCCAACTGGACACACTAAACTGACCAACCCAGTCCATATGGGGGATGAGTGGGGTTGCAATCCAACTGGACACACCAAACTGACCAGCCCAGCCATGATGGGGGATGAGAGGGGTTACAATCCAACTGGACACACCTAACTGACCAGCCTAGCTCTGATGGGGGATGAATGGGGTTGCAATCCGACTGGACACACCAAACTGACCAACCCAGCCCTGATGAGGGGTGAGTAGAGTTGCATTCCAACTGAACACACTAAACTGACCAGACCAGCCCTGATGGGGGATGAGTAGGGTTGCAATCCAACTGGACACACCAAATTGACCGGGGGAATGAGTAGGGTTGCAATCCGACTGGACACACCAAATTGACCAGGGGAATGAGAGGAGTTGCAATCCAACTGGACACACCAAACTGACCAGCCCAGCCCTGATGGGAGATGAGTAGGATTGCAATCCAACTGAACACACCAAATTGACCAGGGGAATGAGAGGGGTTGCAATCCAACTGGACACACCAAACTGACCAGCCCAGCCCTGATAGGGGGTGAGTGGGGTTGCAATCCAACTGGACACACCAAATTGACCGGGGGAATGAGAGGGGTTGCAATCCATCTGGATACACCAAACTGACTAACCCTGATGGGGGATGAGAGGGGTTGCAATCCAACTGGTCACACCAAACTGACCAGCCTAGCCATGCTGGGGGATGAGTGGAGTTGCAATCCAACTGGACACACCAAACTGACCAACCCAGCCCTGATGAGGGGTGAGTGGGGTTGCAATCCAACTGGACACACCAAAATGACCAGCTCAGCCCTGATGGGGGATGAGTAGGGTTGCAATCCAACTGGACACACCAAATTGTCCAGCCTAACCCTGATGGGGGATGAATGGGGTTGCAATCCAGGCACTAACAAGCCACACCAAAAAAATGCCAGGCCCTCAAATGCTAATCAAGGTGGTCAGTTGAAACATTCACTCCTAGTTCCAGCAGACAAGAGATATATAAACCCCTTTTTCCTAGTTCCAACAGACCTCACTACCTCTGAGGATGCTTGCCATAGATGCAGGTGAAATGTCAGGAGAAAATGCCTCTAGAACATGGCCATATAGTCCGAAAAAACCTACAACAACCCAGCCAGTAGTTGGCCCAAGCCTGATGTAGACTCAGATGTCCTGATATATAGAGCAGTGTTGATCTCGCCTGAGGTCAAGACTGCAAGACCAAGCCTAGCCCTGATGGGGGGTGAGAGGGGTTGCAATCCGACTGGATACAGCTGCAACCTGCATCTTCAGGGGAAGCTTTGTGTCCACTTTTGTTTTCAGTGAAAGGATTCTAAGCAGGTTGATATTGCAGTGTCCAAATTACGAAAAGTCAGTTGCGACTGTGCACTACATTCGGCAGCGAATACATATTTTTTGGTTCCAGGGTTTTGAAAAGGGGTGCGCATTAAGATTCAGTGGCACATTAGAATCAAGGAAATACGGGTAGTAATAAATACACTGGCTGCAGTTGACCATCCCACGGCTATCCATTTGGGGGCATCTCTTGCACACTTGTGTTCACGACCTTCTCTCCTCGTCCTGCAGGTTTGTCCGGCTCCTTCCTCGGTCCGGAGCTGACCCCCATTTTGCACTCGGTGACCCCTCCCCATCCATTCCTGGGGGTCCCTACGCCCTACTCCTTGCTCTGCTCCGTCGAGGCCCAGTTGGCGCTGGACATCGCGACAGCCACCAAGCAGGACGAAGATGGCGACACGTAAGAAACACGGGGGACATTAACAGGGGGAGAGATCCATAAGGTGGCCATATTGGGAATGGGGGAGTGTCATTTGTTGTTTTGCCAACGTCGTTATGGAAAAGCTAAATACAGGGACTAAAACAGGTGTTGTGGCTCAGTCTGAGCTTTCTGAGCCTGAGTTTCCTCAGGACGAGGAGGATGATGGTCAAATCTGCACATTGAATTTCTTGTGACAGTCAGAAAGTTCTTCCTCATGTTCAGGTGGAACCTCCTTTCTCTCCTGTAGTTTGAAGCCTTGGCTCCGTTGCGTCCTAGTCTCCAGGGCAGCAGAAAGGAATCATAGAATCATAGAATCAAAGAGTTGGAAGAGACCTCATGGGCCATCCAGTCCAACCCCATTCTGCCAAGAAGCAGGAATATTGCATTCAAATCACCCCTGACAGATGGGCATCCAGCCTCTGCTTAAAAGCTTCCAAAGAAGGAGCCTCCACCACACTCCGGGCAGAGAGTTCCACTGCTGAACGGCTCTCACAGTCAGGAAGTTCTTCCTAATGTTCAGATGGAATCTCCTCTCTTGTAGTTTGAAGCCATTGTTCCATTGCGTCCTAGTCTCCAAGGAAGCAGAAAACAAGCTTGCTCCCTCCTCCCTATGCTTCCTCACATATTTATACATGGCTATCATATCTCCTCTCAGCCTTCTCTTCTTCAGGCTAAACATGCCCAGTCCTAAGCCGCTCCTCATAGGGCTTGTTCTCCAGACCCTTGATCATTTTAGTCACCCTCCTCTGGACACATTCCAGCTTGTCAATATCTCTCTTGAATTGTGGTGCCCAGAATTGGACACAATATTCCAGGTGTGGTCTAACCAAAGCCGAATAGAGGGGTAGCATTACTTCCCTAGATCTAGACACTATGCTCCTATTGATGCAGGCCAAAGTCCCATTGGCTTTTTTTGCCGCCACATCACATTGTTGGCTCATGTTTAACTTGTTGTCCACGAGGACTCCAAGATCTTTTTCACACGTACTGCTCTCGAGCCAGGCATTGTCCCCCATTCTGTATCTTTGCATTTCATTTTTCCTGCCAAAGTGGAGTATCTTGCATTTGTCACTGTTGAACTTCATTTTGTTAGTTTTGGCCCATCTCTCTAATCTGTCAAGATCGTTTTGAATTCTGCTCCTGTCCTCTGGACTATTGGCTATCCCTCCCAATTTGGTGTCGTCTGCAAACTTGATGATCATGCCTTCTAGCCCTCCATCTAAGTCATTAATCCCTCCTCCCTAGGACGTATTCCCCTCACATCTTGATCCCTGGCCCTCGTTGTGTCTCCTCTCAGCCTTCTCTTCAGTCGAGTAAGGATACCTCTATCATATCATGCATAGATAGTCCAGTAGCTGGAGAGAAAAACATTAGAACCATGGAGGCAATATTTTTTTACCTATCCTTGTATCGTCGTCGTCATCATCATCATTAACATAACAAGATGAGTCCACAGCAAACAAGATCACTCTGCTGACTGTTGTATTGGATCACATGTCGGACACTTCCCAAGTGTCTAGGACTGTGTGATGTATCGGTGAATAATGTGTGCAGATCCCAGTGGGGTAGCCTTTTGCATCTGACAGGTGATGATTTTGTGAGCGCCGATTCTGTTTAAGTGCAGGCCAAGGTCTTTAGGCACTGCACCCAGTGTGCTGATCACCACTGGGACCACCTTTACTGGTTTGTGCCAGAGTCTTTGCAGTTTGATCTTTAAATCCTCGTATCGTGTCAGCTTTTCCAGTTGTTTCTCTTCCATCCTACTGTCGTCCGGGGTTGCAACATCCACAATCCATACTTGGTTTTTTAACACGATTATGAGGTCAGGAGTGTTGTGCTCCAAAACTCTGTCAGTCTGAATTTGAATGTCCCAGAGGAGTTGGACGTGTTCATTTTCCGTAACCTTTTCAGTCTTGTGATCCCACCAGTTCTTTGTCGCAGGGAGATGGTCTTTGTGGCCCAAGTTCCAATGAATCATCTGAGCAACGGTGTTGTGCCTCTGCTTGTAGTCTGTCTGCGTGATCTTCTTTCAGCAGCTGAGGATGGGATCCATCACTTTGCTTCCTTGCAGAGTCTACACTTGGGATCTGTCGTCGTCTTTTCAATTTGATGGCATTGGTTCTAATGGCTTGTTCTTGAGCTGTCAGAATCAGGCCCTCCGTCTCCTTTTTCAGAGTTCCATTTGTGAGCCACAGCCAGGTTTTTTCTTTGTCAATTTGGCTCTCAATTTTTCCCAGCAACTGTCCATGGAGAGCCTTCTTTTGCCAGTTTTCTCTACTGCTCTGGATTGTGTTTTTATGGTATTCCCTCTTTGTCTTTTCTACTATTGACTTCCATTAATGTTGGTCCTTGACTGCCTTTCCCATCATCTGCCAGGGCAGGTTTCTCTTCTTCTTCTTCCATTTGTTTCACTTGCAAAATCCCTCTCCCTCCTGATTTTCTGGGCAGGTGAAGTAAAATATGGGCATGTTTAGCCTGAAGAAGAGAAGGCTGAGAGGAGATATGATAAGAGCCATGTATAAATATGTGAGAGGAAGCCACAGGGAGGAGGAGGAGGGAGCAAGCTTGTTTTCTGCTTCCCTGGAGACTAGGATGCAAGGGAGGAATGGCTTCAAACTACAAGAGAGGAGATTCCATCTGAACACGAGGAAGAACTTCCTGACTGCGAGAGCCGTTCAGCAGTGGAACTCTCTGCCCCAGAGTGTGGTGGAGGCTCCTTCTTTGGAAGCTTTTAAACAGAGGCTGGATGGCCATCTGTCAGGGGTGATTTGAATGCAATATTCCTGCTTCTTGGCAGGGGGTTGGACTGGATGGCCCATGAGGTCTCTTCCAACTCTTTGATTCTATGATTCTATGATTAGTAATAATAATAATAATAATAATAATAATAATAATAATAATATCTTGCTTTCTCTCCCCAAAAGGGACACAAAGTGGCTTGATATGAAAACAGCAGTATACAGTAAAAATATAACAAAATGCAAACACTAAAATAGAATTTAACTCAAACAGCACTAAAAAAAATCACAATTACAATCCATCAAAACAGTTAAGGCACTAGATCTTAAACGCCTTCCTCTTTAATAAAAAGGAACAATGGCTTCAAACTCCAAGAGAGGAGATTCCACCTGAACATGAGAAAGAACTTCCTGACTGTGAGCGCCGTTCAGCAGTGGAACTCTCTGCCCCAGAGTGTGGTGGAGGCTCCTTCTTTGGAAGCTGAATAAAAAGGTTTTAGTTGTACTCTCTCTAGGAATCTCTAGGCCGGGCAGATGTTTACCATACAGTTGCTTTTAATCTGTTCCTAGAAATAACTCATTAGGCATATTAACTCAATCTGTGAAGTCAATTCTGCAAAGCTGGAGGGTCACCTGGATGGTGCTTTCACCGCCGGCTTGAAATCCTTGGCATATTATTATTATTATTTGATACACAACAAAATTAGTCCATAGTAAAAAAGATTACTCTGCTGGCTTTTGTATAGGGTTCTATGTCATAGAATCCTAGAATCCTAGAGTTGGAAGAGACCTCCTGGGCCATTATCCAGTCCAACCCCATTCTGCCAAGAAGCAGGAATATTGCATTCAAATCACCCCTGACAGATGGCCATCCAGCCTCTGTTTCAAAGCTTACAAAGAAGGAGCCTCCACCACACTCCGGGGCAGAGAGTTCCACTGCTGAACGGCTCTCACAGTCAGGAAGTTCTTCCTCATGTTCAGATGGAATCTCCTCTCTTGTAGTTTGAAGCCATTGTTCCATTGCGTCCTAGTCTCCATGGAAGCAGAAAACAAGCTCTGCTCCCTCCTCCTCCCTGTGGCTTCCTCTCACATATTTATACATGGCTATCATATCTCCTCTCAGCCTTCTCTTCTTCAGGCTAAACATGCCCAGCTCCTTAAGCCACTCCTCATAGGGCTTGTTCTCCAGACCCTTGATCATTTTAGTTGCTCTCCTCTGGACACATTCCAGCTTAGAGTCAATCTCTCTCTTGAATTGTGGTGCCCAGAATTGGACACAATATTCCAGGTGTGGTCTAACCAAAGCGGAATAGAGGGGTAGCATGACTTCCCTAGATCTAGACACTAGGCTCCTATTGATGCAGGCCAAAATCCCATTGGCTTTTTTTGCCGCCACATCACATTCCTGGCTCATGTTTAACTTGCTGTCCACGAGGACTCCAAGATCTTTTCCACACGTCCTGCTCTCAAGCCAGGCCTCATCGTCCCCCATTCTGTCTCTTTGCATTTCGTTTTTCCTGCCTAAGTGGAGTATCTTGCGTTTGTCCCTGTTGAACTTCATTGTGTTAGTTTTGGCCCATCATCTCTCTAATCTGTGGAGATCCCTTTGAGTCCTGCTCCTGTCCTCTGGAGTCTTGGCTCTCCCTCCCAATTTGGTGTCGTCTGCAAACTTGATGATCCTGCCTTCTAGCCCTTCATCTAAGTCAGTGGTTCTCAACCTTTTTAATGCCGCAACCCCTTAATACAGTTCCTCATGTTGTGGTGACCCCCAGCCATTAAATTATTTTTGTTGCTACTTCATAATTGTAATTTTGCTACTGTTATGAATCGTTATGTAAATATCTGATATGCAGGATGTATTCTCATTCACTGGACCAAATTTGGCACAAATACTCAATATGCCCAAATTTGAACACTGGTGGGGATGGGATGGGAGGATTGAGTTGTAGTTGCTGGGATTTATAGTTCACCTACATTCAAAGAGCATTCTGAACTACACCAACAATGGACTTGAACCAAACTTGGCACACAGAACTCCCATGACCAACAGAAAATACTAGAAGGGTTTGGTGGGCATTGACCTTGGGTTTTAGAGTTGTAGTTCGCCTACATCCAGAGAGCACTGTGGACTCAAACAATGATGGATCTGGATCAAACTTGGCAGGAATATTCAATATGCCCAAATGTGAACACTGGTGAAGTTCGGGGAAAATAGACCTTGACATTTGGGAGTTGTAGTTG